TATATATATGTATTATTGGAAGGTATGAGTCCAAAATCTCTTTCTAACACGATAAAAATTACAAGAAAAGGAGTCCTTACGATAAAAATCTGTCATGGTCCATTTATTCATATGTAAGTATTATATTTAGGTTTCTCGCATTACAAGTTTAGTTTTTCCACTCATCGCCTTGTTGTGATTCAGAAAACCGTATAAGTCGCGTTTTTATACAAAGATCTCAATAATACAGATGTGTGAGAAAACTGCTCCCAAACCTAAAAAGCCCGGTCGGAAAATACTGTGGAGATAGCCGGAGTCGCGCGCATGTGTGAGCCATCCGGGCCTGAGCTCGATAGAGGAGAGTGGGAGGGCCTTTTTTAAAATTTCATTTTTTTTTTTTTTGTGGTTGTTGCTGTTGATGTTGTTTTTGCTGTTGTTGTTATTTCTAGTCGTTTTTTGTTTGTTTGTTAGTGTGCGTATTTTTTTTTTGCTTTGTGTATTTTTCATTCATTGTTTTCGTTTTTGTTTAAGGTGGGGGTGGAGGGGGAGGGGTGGAGGAGATGATAATTCCTCATTGTCTGAAGAGTGGGTGGGTTAAGATGTTCAGAAAAATTTTTTTCGTGCTTTGCTTTGATTTCAACTGATTTGGTGATCAATCATGTCTTTGTGTTTCGGAGAAAAAAAAATGCTGCCAAAGGAAGTAGAGGTGAAATGAGGTAAAGACGTCTCACAGAAACCTGTGAATTTCTTGTAATTTGATTCGAAGCACCTGCCTGATACAGCTTGATCGGATTTGGTAAAAACACATTTTTATGAGAAGGGGAGTGATGTTGTCTGTGGTAGTGGTACAGCGATTGAACGTTCCGCTTTTGCACGCCTAAGACCTGAGATCGAACCGGATTTGGCCCTAACTGATAGGTTCGAAGCAGCCCGCCTCCGAAATGATCTAATAATTAATCGTGTCGATTGGATCGTAAAACAGTTATTAATATGATCATTATTATTAATTATTATTATTATTATTATTATTAGTATTATTATTATTAATACTATTGTTATTATTATTATTATTACTATTGTTGTTGTTGTTGTTGTTGTTACTATTATCATAATTAATATGATTATTTTATTATTATTATTGTGACTGCATTTGGGTGTTATTTCTTTGTTTGGGTTTCTTATGTTGAGAGGGTAGTTTGTAGCTGTTATAATGTGCCTATTGTCTATTCTGATTCAGTATAGCATATTACGTGTATTGTTGAAATTTCAAAGTACCTTCAATAGACCCACTGTAATAATGAAAGTTGATAAATAATTCGTTCCTTTTTTTTTACCTCCTTCTGTTTCTGTCTTCTCTCTTTATTTTCCCTCCCCTGCCGCTCTCCTCATTTGAGTCACCTTGCTTATTGACGGACGTAATGGCTCCCGCAGTACTTAAAACGGATGCCCATTGGCAAGATCGGGTCGTCTCGGGCCGGATCGGTTGGGTCGATTAATGGCGGCTTTAGTGCACACTAGAAATGGACCCCAGTCTTGTTTCATCAAATGTGACCCGGAAGTTAAAGCAGAGAAAACGTGAACCTGTGGTGACCGAGAGACGTCGTGCACAGGTTATATCCGGTGCCGAGAGGCGTTTTTTGTTCGCACGGTTACTGAGTTCACAACACAGCCACGTCTTTCAATAATGGCTGCAAGTGCAGACTGCCGCATATCGCGGTTGCTTTGTCGAGTGGTTCTTGATTCCCACAGACATGAGACATGTCGATGGCTTTCTATCAGCTTTTTCCAAATCAACAGCGCCCTTTATCGCATTCCGATCGCAAACAAAACATCTGAACCAGGCCTCGCAATGTCATGTGAGTCGTAAGCAGCTAGTTTTATGATTTGCTGTTTTTACCCGACGCAACAGACACTAGACACAGAAAAACAAACATGTTTGATTTTTTAAAGAAAGTCCTGTTCGACCCCGACTGTATCGTATGAATCAAATTTATCAACTGGACAAGTTGCACAGAGTATCAGAGATATCTTCTTCTGTTGAACGAATGCTATTTCGATTCGATTCTCGAGTGGGGAAATCTATTTATCTAGTAACTTCGTCTTTCTATTGGAATAGGGTATTCCACTCAGGTTGGGTTGGTTCTGAAAGGCGGGGTCGGAGCAACTTGTCTCTTAAATAAAATGTTTCGATGCGGGCGTAAAATATTTACGATCATCTGAGTCACTTTCCCTGTTTACATTCTTACTTCAACTTACTAGTGTCTCGTAGTCTATTAATGTTCTTCTTATTTATGCCCAGCTTTAAAAATAACTAGGTGTATGCACACACGCAGGCTCATGCAAACATACAGACACACACTCAAACGTTCGTGCACTTTCGTCCATCGACGGATGGAGAGAGAGAGAGAGAGAGAGAGAGAGAGAGAGAGAGAGATGGAGAGAGAGAGAGAGACAGAGAGACAGAGAGAGAAAGACAGAGACAGAGAGTGAGAGCGAGAGTGAGAGGAGTGGGGAGAGAGAGGAAGAAAAAGAAAACGGAGATAGGGTGGGTTGGAGAGGGAGAATAAATAAAAGAATGAGAGAAAAGAACACATGCAGACACTTGCCAACAGAATTAACATCCTGGTTTTTTTACCTTTTCGTCTATCTCATTCCCTCTCCTCCCCTTCTTCCTCCCTATACTCTCTCTCTCTCTCTCTCTCTCTCTCTCT